AACGATTTCTTGGTGCGCTATAGTTAGGCCACAAAACAAAAAAAGGCAAGGACACAAACAGTGTGACAATACATGTTTTATGTTTAGCAGAAACCGACAAATAAGAACAAAAACAGACAACGACCGTCGTTAAAGAAGGTGTTAGAAATTACGATACCGGACCGTGATGGAGTCCTCACATCTCCGGTGCGTGGAAGATCAACATCATTCATGGAAGATTCATGACGCACGGTTCCTCCTCCGGCTTGTAATTTCGAACACCTTCTTTAATAAAGACCCCCCTTTTTTTCCTTATTCGTTGGTTTCTGCTGCACTAAATAAAATCTGCTTTGTCACACTATTCGTGTCTTGCTTTTTTGTGTTTTGTTTCGTTATTACCGCGCAAAGAAAGCGTTTCTTATCATGCACTGCTATGTGATTTTCCATCGCCTAGATGTACTCCATCTCTTATGAAAATTTGTAACTGATTTGCTGAAACAATCAGTCAAAGAGAGTAGCCAAACAAATGCGAGGATCAGGAATAGTGCGGTCGAGAAGAAGCCTTCACATATGCAGATTTTCAATGCGTATGGGGAAAATAAAAGCAGCGGTCGAGAAGAAGACAATGGCAAGGGACTCCTAGCACAGAGAATGTACCTGAAGAGGCGTTGTCCGCACCATATCACTTTCACGAACATCGGAGACAGGATCCTTCCAAACAACAAGGCGCAATACAGGGCAAGAACGCAGTCTGCACATACCTGAAACAGAAAACCAAGTAATGCAACGGTTTGCTGTTTGACCGTTGACCAGTATACGATCGGTTGCAGCTGAACTGGGTATTCGGCACAAAATGGTGTGGAAGATTCTACATACAGAATTATATGCACCCCTTCCACGTGTAGTAGGTCCAACTCATAGGTGATGCCGATTACACCTTTCGGGTAGAGCTCGTACGCTGGACGCTTGATGCATGATTCAGTTTCCCGCCACTGTTTTATTCTCAGATGAAGCCTGTTTTACAAGTGAAGGCGTGGTCAACACGCGCACGCACAGTGCGCATAAGTGGTCTTCCGAAAATCCCCACAGCATAATATTCGGTATTAACATCTGAGTAGGGATTCTCGGAGATCATCTGCTGGGACCGTACCTTCTGCCCGAACGACTCAATGCGCAAATAACCTTGTTTTCCTAAAGTATGTTCTCCCAGATTTGATGCAGGGAACACCGGCCACTGTGCTTCAGAACACGTAGTTCATGTATGATGGTGCAGCAGAACATTGAGACTGCGGTGCGCAACCACCTCGATTCTACATATCCTGGCAGGTGGACTGGATGCAACGGACCTGTTGCTTGGCCTCCACGCTCTTGGACCTCAAATTCCTTGAATTTCTTCTTATAGGGCCGCCTGAAATCTGTTATTTATCATAGTCTGTGGATACACAGCAGGATTTGACAGCATGGATCGCCGTCGCTTCAGCAAACATAACCTGCACAGATGTTACGTTTGAACTATTAAACTTTCGCTCTTAAGAATTTCCTGCAGTCTAGTTTGTTTTCAATTAAATATTTACACGGCATTAGAAAATTAATTTGTAATCTGACAAACGGTCCTTAGACGTAAAAAATTTTAGTAAAGAGTATTTCTGAGTACTCACATTTAGTTTTCATATAACATAGCATTCGAAATGCAAAACTCAATATTTGGAATACAAATTCATTGAGGTAACAAACATGTGTTCTTTTACTCCTATGCCTTTAAAATATTTTTTGTCTTTCAGTAATCCATTTTCATAGTACAAAATTACATTCATTCAAAGAATTCAAATTTTTTATATTTTTCTGTCTATAAAACAAAATGATGGAGATTAAAAAAATTTCTTTTTTTAAATTATCCCGCACAGTGTTGCCATTGCTCGCTTTGAAATCGTTGATCTTGTTAATCGAAAATTCGTTAAAGTTTTACAAAATATGAAAGAGTCAATAAGACAAATTGGAAATTCCAAATTCGGGCTTTCAGGTGCTCATATTCGGGTGGAGGAATATGTTATTCAAAGTTTGATGGCTCTAGGTACCTTTTTTTCCCCCAGTGCGAAAAACATACATACTTTCATGCAGATTCTTCATTATTTAATTTCTTTAAATATAATACAGCCGATAATATTTGGTGGCAACAATTTGAAAAGTGATACAACGCTTTTAATAATTCAACGCAAAATGCCGTTTCGAGACTAATAGCCCTTCTGGGCTAACGTCCCTTTGAGCTAAAAATAGCCAGTATTTCTACAGGATATACTTCTAATACATGTCTGAAGACAAAACAGTACCAGGCTTTGACAAAATAAGGTGTCCAACCACATTTATCGCTAACGACCTAGTTTTTACAAAATGATAAGAGATAGTCCCTCTATAGCTGTCAAGAAATCGCAAATATACCACTAATATTTCGACTTCTTTCTCAGTATTTGATATCAGCAGAAACTAAGTATTAAGAAGCAATTTATATTCTAATAAGTAAGAGCATTACATGCAAAAGTTATCAATAAATTTTATTTAATTTCTTTTTTTTAAATACAAAGTTGAAAAAAAACTAAAAAATTAAAGTCGTTTAATAAAATACGCAAAAAAGGTTCTGGAAAAATGTAAAAAATCCGTACTGCTACTCGAGCATTCTTGTCAAATTATATTGAATGAATCTCTAACTTCAAGAGTTTTAATTATGTGTCTCATTTACTAAATTTCATTTGTATCTTCTTAATAAATATATGTAAATTAAAAAAATTACATTCGTCAGCTTAATTTTCAATCAAAGCATATGTCAAGTTCTGCTGTAATTAATCACTTTTTAATATACTTCACCTCTTGTTTCTTCTTGTTATTTTTCTTATATGAAGGATTCCAGAAATTCAAGAACCTTTTACGATTTGGATTCAAAAAATTTTTCCTACCATCTTTACTAGAAACTCTTCATAAAATCCTATTGAACTATTTAGTTTATAGGTGATTCGTGCAGCTTTGATGTTCTTAAAAAAATCCTGAGAATATTTATAATAGTTTTTTTATATTTTTAAGAAACGATAAGTGTATTTTAAACTGTTTTCTACCCTCTAAAAATTATGAGTGTATTTATATATTTTTTAAAGTTCTTAAGAATTAAATGCTGAGTGCATTTATAATAATCAGGTGGTAATCCATCTCTGTGAAATTTCCGAACACCTATCGTTCATAGGTTTTTTACGTTTCTAGCTTGTTCAAGTCCAGGGAAAGATGGAAGCTTAGAATATTAAAAGACTTCTGGAAAACAATATAACTGGAGCAGACAAAGCTTGATTGCTATATATTTTTAGGAAAAAAAAAACTTCTGCCTCGGAAAATTTAATAAAGAGCTACAGTTCAAAATCAGGGCTTTTACAAAGAATGTATTAAATATGGCATGCATGATCTTCAAGATCATTTTCTTTCGGTCAGAAATAAACAGCTGCAGTATTCTGTATATATTAACAAATCACACAGTCGGTACCTGAAACACAGAACTCTGAAGTCTAACTTCACATTTTTTCAAGAGCATACATGATGACTTAACAAAGCATTACTCCGTCAAAAATGCTAAATTCGGACTTCGCATTTTTACGAAAACATACATGATGACTTAATAAACGACTTGTGACAAAGGTGGTAGAAGGGGGATCTAACACACGAATCTCACTACTGAAGTAGATCACACTGGAAGGGACAAACTTCTTTACTAATTCAATTTCTTCGCCTAACAAATTTGAATCCACTCACCATACAGGGCGGTTTTTGTATACCCCTTTCCGGTGAAAAGAACCTCCTGGGAGGTGAACCTTTTCATACGAATGGAATTTAATGATTAGAATTCCGTCCTTGTGAGCTGTCCCCGCATACATAGTTATAGTTATGAATTTGTACAGACTATTAGGTTTCTCCCCGCCAAGCTGGAAATATGAAAAGACAATCTTCGGATTGGTAGACAGACAGATTATCAGTTACACCACGAGAGCATGCACGGGGAAGGCATTAATACTGTATCATGATGAGTTACAATTATTAAATCCTATAACATCTTTATTTACTATAACTTTCGCTTCACAGAAATACTGTACATTTCAAAGGAGAGTGGTTTAAAAGCAAATACCATAATTCGGAATCTTGGCAGAAATTTAGAAGATGAGCTGCAATGTAATGCAAGCATTATTAGAGAATGAAATCATTTCTCTTCAGGACAAACTGGAGACTGCTCAGACTGGAGACTGGCAACCCCGTTATTTATTATCAGCGAAAGTATTGCATAAAAAAAAATCTGAAAGCTTTCAGATTTTATATTACACTCAGGCGCATTTTTTAACGTTTTGTATGTTATCTTTATTTATTAAATATCATGTTCTTCGCACTTAAAACATAAAATTCAATTCAACAGCACTATGACAAAAGAATTTTTAAATGAGCATATGTTTAGAATTTGCGATACACGGTCTCGCGCGCTGGAAATATATATTTTTTTTCCTCCCGTACAGAGTTGCCATTGCTCGCTTTGAAAACGTCGAGTTTGTCAATCAAAAATTCCTTAAAGTGTTATAAAATATGAAATCGATAATAAAACAAATTCCAAATTAGGGCTTCCAGATGCCCATATTCGGTGGAGGATTACGTTATTCAAATTTTGATGGCTCTAGGTACCATTGTTTTATCACAATGCGAGAAACATACATACATTTATGCAGATTTTTCATTATTTAATTTCTTTAAATATAACACTGAGCAATTGTACCTGGTGGCAACAATTTGAAAAATGAAACGGACATTTAAAGTTTTCGACGCAAATTGCCAAAACGAAATTAACGGCCTTTCTGGGCCTCTGGGCTAATACACTTCACTGAGATGTTTAACATAAAAGAATCTGATTAAAAGAAAGTGAATTTTTATTTAACATCCATAATATTAAACTAAAGAAAATATTCAAAATGAATTTTTCCATGCATTACATATAAGCCATTTCTTACCAGAAGCCTTATCTCCGCAAACAACGCAAAGTTCATTAAATTTTCGATCACTCCCATTCTTCAACAATGGTTCTTCATCTCTCATCCTTGTCAACTGCTCTGCAGTCTGCCACTCCTTTACTTTGGTTGCCCAATCTGAATTACAAGAGATGTTTTTCCCAGTTCCACAAAATGAGAGTCCAGAGCTTATGTCTACTGGACCAGGACCAGATTCAAGTTTCAGAACATCATTTATACTCACCTAAGAAGTGAGAACAAGAATATTAGTAATAAAAAATTAATTTAATAATTAACAACTAATAAATTCTTAAGCACATTTATTACCATCCTATTCCTTGAAAACAATAAAAATTTTTTATTGATAACTAATAAGTTTTTAAATAGAATAATTTGTCATTGTTTAATAACAAATTCTTTTTCAACAAAAACTTTAAAACGTAATATAGATAGAAACCTATTCATTAAGTATCAGTTCTTTTTCTATGAACGGGCTCTCTTGGGAGCAGAAAGCGAATGGGATATAAACAGCAAGCCTTCTTGCAAACAGGTGTGATCTTACAGCCCATGTTCGCCTTTTCAGGGATGCAGCTGGCCCTCCGTTCATTTTTAAGGACGATATCGCGCATACACATAGTGCTAATCAAGTGAATGATTTTCTGGAAAATTGGAATATTAATCGGATAGATTGACCAATCAGATCTCCCGAACTAAACTCTGTAGAACATGTCTGGGACATTCTTAGGAGGGTACATGCGACTCACCTTTTCCATCTCAGAACCCTCCAGGACCAGAAAAGAGTGTTGCTGCAGGGATGGGACCTATTGCCACAAGGATTTGTGAATTGCCTCATTTTCAGTATAAAGTCACGTTGTGACAGCTGTATAAACGTTATAAAGGACAGCATCTTCGATTCGCACCGCCTTTTTTCTGTTCGATCTTAAAACCTCTGTTTTAGGCCTTTCTGCGCCGATTTTTCCGCACGATCATACATGTGTACCATGACTGTTCCACTGTAAATTTTTTTTGTATGTCAACATATGTTCATAAAAAAATAATTAAAATTTGACAATTTGTTCTGCAGATAATCAACCAAATGTGAATATTACCTTAATTTTTAATACCAGTACATAAACTAATGAAACTTAGAAGTTTCATACTATATGCGGCTTCAAGATTAAAGTCTACATGGCAAAGTTTGTTGATGACCACTAAGATTACGATATTTGCAATTGTTCTTTCAAAATATGGAAAACCGCATAATTTGCCACAGAGTGTCTACACGTTCTATGGGATTTAGCTTTCAAAGGGACTCGTACCATGTTCGATTTGAGCAGGACTGTAAAATTCACCTCTCCCCTCATGCAAAGCATTAAACGGAAGAAATATAAACGGTAAATACTACCTCAAATTTGCCAAAGAAAACTCAAAAGAATTCGGTTCATGTTTACCACAGTAAAATTATTGGTTAGGAAGACCAGTAAAAAGCATACTAAATTTCAGTATTCAAGAAAGCAATGTCTAACAGATTTTCACGTTTTTCAACCAGCATTTATAAATAACAGGTAGCCTTACTGTAAATTTATTATAAGAAGTTAAGTTTCATTGTGGGGAGCAGGGATTGCATAAACTTTCTCAGAATTCTTTTACGTAGAGGATACTAGAGAGCCTAATGATTACTAAGAATGCTAGATCTCTTTAGTAAAAAGTATACGAAAATCAGTCAGAAGAATTTTTAAATCTAGTAATGCATTTAATGTATATCTTTTTGTTTGAGCTCAGACTTATTTCAGTCATTTTGATTTAGCCTAGGGAATTTATTTCTAAATGTAGCAAGTTCAACTTTTTTAAAAGTAAGTATAAAGAAGGCACAATTTTCTATTATTTTCAATCTAAAACGTTTAATTTTGTATTATTTTATATACTGACCTTTGCTGTATTAACATAATTTCTACAGTAAATTAGCTTTATTTATTTGAAATCGAAAATGGATTTTTCTTTACAGCACATAGTGGAGATATTTGATTCTATTTTTCTTCGTATACATAATCCTGTGTATCAATTGCTTTCTTGAACTGAATATTACTGATAGAATTTTAATGCTTGGAGAATGTGAAGTATTCTGTTATTTTCAGATTCTCATTGAAAAGGAAAGTTGTTCATCGTGCGAGTTAAACGGAACGAAAAGTTGGATCTTCTGATAAAATATAACAATAATACAATACGCTGTATCACAAATGATACGAATAAAATGGTACTGAAAATATCTGCTGTTGTTTATTGTCATCATTTTTTAAGGTTTTCATCATTATTACTGCGATTCAATGCTACTCATTTTTTATTCCAAAAAATAAAGAGATATTTTAACCTATACATCATTTTATAATTTAAAGTTTTATAGATAATTAGTGTTTCCAAGGATAAGTTAGAAAATGAATGTTTACAGCTTTACCTTATAACTAAGAACCAATCATTACGTGATGAAAGTGATTACTGCTCTATTTTAAATATTATTTATAAAATTCTTAAATACATATAAAGAAATATGTAAGTTTTAAGTTTTTAAATTTTTTGACTCGGAAGAAGTATTTTCACTGAAATGAAGAATTATTTTTGGATATGGGGATATGCGACTCTTATTGAAAGACTGAATTTTTTTTACTTCATTAAAATATATTTATTTACTTCTGTTTAAAAATATTATACTATGCGGTGAAAATATAAGCAAATAATTATATTAAAAAATCAATATCAGTTTGCAGAAGATACAAAATAAAAAATTGCGAAAACGGAATTATCATTTTCAGTCTTCTCTGCAGATATTTATCTCCCTTGCAAGCGAATTACTCTTCCTTTTCGTAATATAAAATGGTCATAAACGCAAAAAAGGCGTTAAAGGCGAATTCAGTATTAACTCTTTGTCTGCATATGAACTATTATCAGCTTTGCGAATTAAATCAATTAATTGGAAATTTAACGATGACAGTATGTACCTTAACAAACAAGAAATTATATCCCAGCACATAAAAACGAGAAACAATATTTAAAGGCTATTAGCTTTTTTTGGGGGTGGAGTGAAAAATTAAATGCACTCTAGCCAAAATGCAAGCCAAATCGCAGCCAAGCGGTAAAGTCGCTGAACAGTGGTAGTTCGGTCCGGGATTCGAATCACAGAGAACGGGTTGGTTGCACGGGTGTTTCCGTGATTTTTCCCATGTGTAACGTGTATACCAGCCAATTTCCCTTAAAAATCCTCTACGAAGGCATCCCTATCCTTAGGCAGATAACCTTCCAGTGTTCTGCCATAATTAAATAAATCAAACCAACTAACTAAATGTACTATGATTCATCCTTTAAGACTACGGACAGAGGAATGCGATAATTCCTTACGCATATGTAAAGAACGCAGGTTGTTTTCACCTCTAACGTTATTTTGATGTTAATAAAGTGACATTCTGTTTTACGCTCTTGTCTGTTTTTAGACTGTGGTACAGTATCGATACTGCATATAACCGACATACTCTTTGCCGGCACAAGATCGACAAGGCAGCTCAAAAGCCGATTTCGACTCTATGTCAGTGTCGATCCGATGCTGGTACTGTATAGAAATAATAATTTAATCAAGTTCCTCCTTTCTTGATTATGTGCTGCTTCTAATTATAATCCTAGGCTGTATTATGCAATGTCCACAGCTTGACAGTGTCGTTTCTATGCCTTGCCTAAGATATGCTGGTGTCCATTCTATGCAACGCCAATCGTATGACTGCGACAACTCTGTGAAGGGGACAAATCTGCGTTAATCCTCTTGCTCACTCTGGTCCTACGTAGTGTCGGTCCTATAACTGCAATTCTCTATTTTAAATGAGTGGAATAAAAGAACATGTGAGCCTAAAACAAGATCTCGAATGACCCGTATCAACTCGTTTCTTATACTAAGTCTTTAAACCGCGAAGGCCAAGGGTGACTGAGTTCACCCTGCACGTAAGAAAACTGTCAGTCTTTTCCGCTTAAAAACAAGACAGAATACCCGAAAACATTCCGAGTTGAAGAAGAAAAAATTAAGAAAATAAGAAACATTTTCCATTCAAGATTACATGAAATTTTCGAAATTCCGCAAAAACTTTGATGAAAGCATAAATCAGACTTTAAAGGCTTGCTCAATTTGAAGACATGGGAACGACAGAAGGTTTGCCAAAGTTACGAAAACTGAAAATTTAGGTTTTCTCAAATATTATTTATGATCTGAATTCAAAGGCGATTAATTTTTATAAGTACAGTGGGAAACCGTTCAAGTGACCATTCACAAACGACGTATAAATGAAAGATATTAAATGAACTTTTAATTTACGATGTGAAACATATACAATTTTGAAGCTACTAAACCACTACTGATATTACACAATTTTACTATCTATCGTGCCTTCAATTTGTTTAAAATCTGAATTATGTACAAACAAAATTAAAATTAATATTTAAAACAATATTTAAAAGGATTTCAACTCCTGTACCAGACTACGATGTCTTTTGACTTTGTTTCCTTCTCCTACCCCCGTTTCTGAGAAAAGTACTTCAATAGCGGAACTGCGAAATGTAAAACCAGTGCAGTTAGTAAAACAAAAGCAAAGTATAGCAGAACTTATGCGACGCCTAAAAGAAAGATTTTTACAACTAAAATAAATAGGAGAGAATCGGGACTAAGACGAAACGACGAATAAATGCAAAAGTAGTATAAACGAGAAACGTATAAATGGTACTCCACTGTAATAAATAAAGAAAGTTTTATCACACATCAGGAAATGAAACTCGCATATTTAAAAATCGACCTCTATTTCCATTCAAGCAAGCTAATTTTATAAAACAGAGCTTTTGCTAAAGAACAATAGATTTCAGAAAATAAGGATCAATAAAAAAAAAATGAAGTAAAATAATATCCAGTGTAGAAGCTTTTGTAATAATTTAAACTCGAGGTATGAAAGCTAAAAAATCATCATTTGTTGACTGCAGATTGGCAACCTAATTATTCCTGCAATTTTTCAAAATTTTCTATTCTGCTATCTCCACAACAAATGCTGCTGGTTCCTTATCGAATAACCTATTGTCTGACAGCTATAAATCTAACAACTCATCAAGTTGTTATTCTCCGATTTTCTAACCACGTTAGTTAATCTTTGAACATTTTTGCTGTTATTCTGAAATCTTCAATCCACGTATGTAATTCTGTGAGTTATTGGTGTTATT